TGGAAGGCAGAGATAAACGGCTTGGCCATATCGAGCCAGCCGCCGTGGGGCCTGATATATGTCAATGCTCGATAGCACAAAAACATTGTATGTGGCTATCAGGACTTCTTACATGTCATTCGTCCACTTGGAGTTACCATCATCAAAATGGGGAGAATGGAGAGGGCCGATATAGTGGGATTCGCCATAGTCGTTCCAGGTGATGATCTCCAGAAACCGGGGTCCGAGACTGAGGACTTCGTTCCAACGGTCATACCACAATAAATCAGACGGGAAAACCCAGTTCTTACTGTATGGAACTTCCTAGATCGATGTTAGCTACGGACGATTTGGTATTTATGGCATCACAAAACGGATGGCCAAGTGACGAACGTACCGGGCCGAAGTGTGTGCTGAACCATGCAGATACAGCTATGTGATAGTCAGTAAGGCCATTAATAGTACAAACTCGTTGTTTTGGACTTACGAGCAATATATGCTTTTCCCTTAAGCGCATTCACATAGGCACTGTCACCCGCTTCCACGGTGACGTTGTGCCCTGGAGTTGGAGCTTTGTTGTTCCCGTTATTAGGCCATGCCTATTGCGATTCCATGTTAGACCAGCAATAGCACGAATCAGTCCCCGCATGTCTTACCATCCAGTTTAGAGCCCCATCAATGGTATTGAAGTCCGTGTCGTACTCAGGATGAAAGTTGGGCGCCCAAAAGATCTGAACTCCTGCGGCATTGCGAATGGCCGCCACATCGACCCCATCTCCGGCAAAAGATGATGCAAAGACCTTGTTGTCGACATACAATTGAGCCGGCAGCTTAGCGTACTGGGCAACTTTTTGGCCTACCGCGACAGCATCGGAAGTGTGATACCAGTTGAAGTCAAAAGAGATGAAGACCTTCATGCCGTTATTAGCTGCCGACTGATAGGCGTAGCCAAGCTGGGTATCTGTGTAAGGATCAACCCCGATATTGAGAGCAAATGCGTCAATGCCAAGTGATTTTGCACGCTTCATATCATCGTCGAAGTCCTGTGGTCCCGTCCGTTCGCCTACAATTCCAATCTTCACGTCACAAGTGGGTTAGCCATCAGTTAACCACAAGGATGAAGCAGACCAGTGTCCCCCTCGGGGTAAATCCTACCATGAAGTGGCAGAACACCAGCCTGTTGGTACTCTGACGTTCGATAAGAACATTGTCCCGCTGATCAGTTGGAAACGAGAGAACAGTCGAAATCAAGAGGAAGGCACTGCAGAGCAGAAAAGTGAAGTTGACCCTAAACATCGTGAGAGGTGACAGCCCTGAGACCCAGAAGCATGCCAGTTCTTGAGACACTGCGTTGCTGATGCTCATCTATCGCTCCCATACTGATACTGCCGTGGAACTAGCCTTATATAGACGGACGAGATCAATAGCAAGCATGCCATCCGATCAACTCCATATCGCATCCATACAGGCATTTTGCCACCAAGTCCACCCGCCTTCCGCGCCCTCCATGTGCCCACCATGACTTTGCATCCGGCCCTTCTGAAGAACAAGTGAAACGTCACCTTGCACCCAACGGCGGATAACAGTTGCCAGTCTAGGACAGCGAGACAAACCACCCTGTCACTTAACTAGAGCTAGCGAGAGCAGCTGTCAGAAGTAGAGCAGAGTTTTCACAAGACGCTCCATGTGATATCCTTGAATGTGACACCCTGATCCATAAAGGCATATTCGCCGGTGGACTCGGTCCGAGAACAGGTCCGAGAACAGTAGCATGGTCGTGGAGAGCAGAGAGACCGTACTGTATACGTTACCCTGCGAACACGGACGACGACGACGACCGAGACAATAAACTTTGGCGCGACTGAGGTGTCCCAGTACAGTATATGGAAGCTGTCAGGTTCAGGAACTAACCCCTGTAATGTAAGGCTACCCTATCGCAGTGCTGCAACCCTTTACCCCAACTTCATCTCATAGCTCTCTACCCGCATTGGTTGTCAGGATGCGGGGAGCGTCACTTGGTCGTCTTCTAGCCATCCCTCCAGCCACATAGATTCGAGCTACCCTGGAAAGGAACGGACCGACTGCACATCATAACTTCAGACCAGAAGACCCTCCTGATCAGATGAACATCGATGTTGGTCTCACAACCAACAAGGAACGAATCAAGTCATCGACAGCACGGCATATACTGTTGCCGCTCACAAGCGGAGCATGGTCCTAAAACTAGGTAGCCTAGAGAGTACAAAGAATGAGGAAGCCAACAAAGGTGGTTGCGTCATCGGGCTAGATAGTTGTATGACATGGTCTTGAGCACCCTTTATTAAGTCAAATGGGGAGTTAGGTTGTCGGCACACATTCAGGCGGGCTCCATAGCTCACCGGTAGACTACCAGCGAGCTTAATAAGTAGGCCAAGAATCCGTCCACAGCTCGGGTCAAGTGCGCTTGGTCAAGCCAGAGTTCGAGTCCGCCTGGGTGTGTGCTATGTGGGTTTTTCGGGGGTTTATTTTTATGATTTTTTATTTTTTTTTTTTTTTCAACCCGGGGGATTATACTGAGGCCGTACTAATACTCCCTACATAGGAGAATCGGTAATGCAAGGTGGGAGTTCGAATCTTCCCAGTTAGCACCACACTCTTTTTTTTTTAAGAGTAACCCATGTGCTAGTTGAGCACATGTGTGAGCGACGTGTACAGTCTCTCTAGAAATGTGGAAGTCATAGGTGGTGGTGGTTTGTTAATTACATGGATTTGTAGTCCGAGTGTGCCCGAGTAGTTCGCCTGAGAGCTGGAAGGTCCGAACAGGAGTGAATAGCGAACAGAAGACTGTGGGAAGAAAGGACGTCGGATACTCACATGCAAATGGTGAGGGCAGCTCGCCCTCACCATTTGCATGAGAGGGTGAGCTTGATAGAGAGATATCATATCGACCGGTTATGCGCTCGGCGGCCTACATAGCTCCAATTATCTTATGGAGTAGTTTGTCAGGCTTAATAACCGTGCGCTCCTGCCGCGTAGCACTGTCTTTAAGGCTCTCATCACTTGATGCTAAGAGCTAATGTATCCTATTGGAGTGAGCCAACAAGCAAGTCCGGGCCATCTTGATCTCATGAGATGTATCTTGTAGCATGAGCGAAAAGCAAGATGTGTAACAGCTTCATGCTGCCCTTGGTTTATATGATAGTCGTCAAAGATGTTTTAGGCACCTTGTACATAGCAGTGCAATGGTTCTAGTCTAGAGCGCATCTAGCGTGAAGATTCGACGTCTGGTTGAGGCTTAGGTTTAGGCGAGCGACCTGCTTGAACGTTTTGTGGTGGCTGTACAGTGTCGAAAGTTGTGGGATCCGCACCCGTGTCTCGCTTGTCTGACCAACGTATAACCTCAACTAAAGGCTATCCCGCGAGTCGGTAACATAGTCAGCGTATCCGGCCGAGTCCGGCCAGGGTTCTCGATCCTCCGATTGAGACGTGAAAATGTCGTCTAGACTATGACCAAAGGTCAGCTGAGCCATGCGTATCGGAAATGTACTACTCACAGCTTAGGCGACAATTTCTGGTTGCTAAGCGCCATCACTCGATGATCGATAGCGGCTAGTAACGTCGCTACAACACTAGTCACACCACCGGCATTCTCGATCCAGGTTGGATAGTCAACGATCTCGAGACCTGGGTATCTTTGTTCTCCCAATCCAGTCACGAGGTAGGTAATAATCTCCTGAAGGTCGGGGAACAGGATCTCAAGCGTAATGGGCGCTCCATCCTAGAATTGCAAGCCCAAACATCAGTGTCAAAATCACACGCAATGACAGTTACCTACCCTCATTTCGCCTACAAATGTGACTTTATCATCGCGCTGGGGAGACCCGTCCAGGGTGGCGGGAGACATGGCGGAAACGTTGAGGCTGGCCCACCGGCGAAAGGTGCGCTTGTTCGGTTTTTCTCCTGTTTCGCTACTGTGCCGCCCATGCTTCGACTTGATTAGAGTGGAATGGATCTGCGGTCGCATTGGCTGATGTGCACCCAAATGTCCAACGGATGGCTTGGAAATACACCTTCGTGATGGATGACTTCTTTTGACAAAATGGGCAGGGAGGCGCTGATGGGCAGCTGAACTTGTCGTGGCCTTTCTTCTTGCAGAAGGCGCACCGTCCGCATGTTACACATCTCTTTAGTGAAGCCAACTCTCCCGCAAGAGTAACAAGTCGGTCCGTCCGGGTTATACAACATGACTAGAGTGACAGGTGCAATACTGCGAGCAAGGCAGGCGCGAGACTGGGTGTAATACTACGCGCGAGGCAGGTGCAATACTACGTATAAGGTAAGTATAAGGTAAGTGTAATACTGGTTTAAACCAATTGGCAAAGTTAAGTTCAAAACAACTGGTTTTAAGTAACGACTATTGAATACCTAGTGAGAAGCTGGTGAGAAACCTGTCCGAGATATGCAAATTGGACTCAGACCAGTAAGTAGCGGTTTTGTGTGTGTGTTTTCATTGGTTAGAGCGGGGGGGTGGCTTAGGTGGGGTAGAAAGATACATGGCAAAACCGCGAAACGCCTATGGTAAGTAGCTGAGAATCTAAGACTACATCAGAAGGGGCTGTCAGCTGGCGTCAAGGCCCGCTATTATTTTGCTGTTTGACGCGGACCTACTGTACCACATAATAGGGCCTGGGTGCGGTGGCGGGAAAAGCTTAGGGCGCACGGCCATCTAATGTATGGTTGATTACGTTTTGTTACGACATATGTAGTTTAACTTTAGGCTAGGGTCTCTCAATCAAGCAAGGTAGCATGCCAGAGTGGTTAATGGGTTAGCCTCGAACCGTTAATGGCTTCGGAAAGCTAATGGCTTCGGCCGCACAGGTTCGAATCCTGTTGCTATCGTCTTCTTTTTTTTTTTAAGCTATATATTTATTTCTTATACTCTTTTCTATCTACTCGCACATTCTATCAGATCACATGACCGGTAATTTGTGTGCACCTACATCTGTAGTTTAGCTTTAGGCGCCGGTCCCTTGATTAAGAAAGGTAGCATGCCAGAGTGGTTAATGGGTTAGCCTCGAACCGCTAATGGCTTCGGAAAGCTAATGGCTTCGGCCGCACAGGTTCGAATCCTGTTGCTATCGTATTTTTTTTTAGGCTTTGTATGAATTTCTTATACTCTTTTCTATCTACTCGCGTATTCTATCAGATTGGAGCGATTCGAGCAGTGCGAGCTGGTTTGGGCTCTGTATTTATCCCCTACTACTAGCCTATTCTTTAGCTAGTACCGATATCGCAAGTACGAGCAAGTTTAACTGCTTAGCTAACTAGTAAGCACCAAGGATGATGTAGGCTGATTAAGGCTGATGAGGGCAGAGGTAAGGCGGAGTCGAGAATGAGCCGGTGGGAATACGGCCCCCAAAAGCGGCGAGCGAGCTAACCAAAAAGTTGGACACTTTTGATGTTTGGGTCCCGTATCACATATCCCAGATTCTTGCGGGCTCCCAAGAAACACTCCACTACTACATGCTGTCGTGTGGAGGCGGCTGTCGCAGAGCCCGCATCATTCGTCTTTGGTCCTTGGAATCAACCGACGCCACAATGACCGGCCCTGACCCAGACACGAAACCATTTCCAAAATGTGCTCGAGATGGTATTCTGCAGGCCATTCCAGACATTGTCGGCGGCTATCCTCGAACAATTCTTTGGACCGGCACCGGCAGGAACCGAGTATGCAAATCTGGGGCTCAACGTGATGCCTCCACTCCTTCAGTCGCTTCGTATAGGGGAATCTGGGCGGACTTATTTCGTTATCCAGGTCGCACAATTTCCGGATCCCGAAGCCAGAGCTTGGGTCGCTATTCGACGCTGCCATAATGCGAATCGACGGTCTTGCAGCGTCAGACGCAGTTTCGGAAGGCACCCACTCATCGATAGAAGATAATTTCGAGAGCTTCGAGAGACAATGGGCGGTCGCGACCAGAAAGCATGCCAAATTCACCCGGCCCTTTGGTTCCTCGTTGGCATCTCGAGTTGGATTCGTCCTGAGCTACGGCGTGATACGCAGCGACATCGCGGAACCTGCAGTCCAGAATCCGATTCGACTTCCTTCGGGTTTTGTGGAGCAAGGCTTCACGGAGGAGAATTCTCTGGTATGGACATGCCACCTGCGACAATATTCAGGATTGACTGTTGGGGACGTTCAAACTGCCAGCAGCGAGGGGAGACAAATGCTCATTGGCTTCAACCGGCAGCTGATACAGATGAGCTCCCTCCGGGTCATATTCCTCTATGGTCCTTATGCCACGGATATTGTTCTTTCGGGACTCGGGATGTACCAGCAACTCCAACTGCACATCCGCAAATTCACGTATCAGATGTTCGTCGAAACGTCGGCGAGTTCCCCACGGCTCTACATCATTTGTCCAGAGCTACCTGTCAACAACTTGAAGGTACCGTGGGCTGTTGCACTCGAGTCGATGAGATTGTCAAGTTTGCGGCTTGTGTTACGAAAACCGAGGGGATTCGCCGGGGAGTTTTTGAAAGCAGCAGTAACTTGGCTCAGATATTACGGCAGGCGCAAGACGAAGCACGCGGAGGCCCGGCTTGGACAGCGGAGAATCTCGACATCGACAGAAAGGCTTGGCTCTAGGGTCTTCCCACAGGACAAGTCCTACCAGAGACCATCATGTGCCCTTCGAAAACGATCAACTTCGGCCGGTCGAAGCCTTGGCGAAAGAGGTCGGAAGCAGGAGTGGTGCATTCTTTGAGACCGAGCTCTTGGACTTGGACTATGATGTGCCGGTGTATGGCGAATTGAATGGCACCGAGGAGACGGGTGGCGACAGGGTGAGTCTTAGCCTTTCCAAACTGTAAAGGTCACCAATAACAAAAATAACAGGAGCTTGGAGTTGAGCATTTTTGGAACAGCGATGAGGATGAAATCTCAGGTAAGCACATACTGAGGTCTTGAACTACTCTTGAAATGATCAAGCAACGCATAACATCGCAGCCGGTGAACTAAGATTGAACATAAACTAGTTCACGCTTCTCTTGAAAAGAGTGGAAGTGATCCAGCTTCTCTTGGAATGAGAGGAAGTGATCTAATGATGGGCTCAAAGAGGTTCACATGGGAACCCGGCCACGTTGCAAAGTCCCAGTGGGAATCTAAGCACCGCTTGGAAGGATACCAAGTCCGGGCACCTACTAAACCCCATGCTGGAGGGCCTCTTGTGGATCTTTGCTTTCTTCTACTCTATTTCCCCCGCGGAATGGACTTTGGAGACAAGCACCTTACAATTCGTCCCGAATTCTCAGCTCCAGGTACGAGGCACCCAAAAGTGTATGCGACTCAAGCTCTGGATATCGATCCGGCCTGTCGTCTAGCTATAAGGTCTATTGGGGTTTGCAAAGATGGCACGTCTTTCGACATATTCCTCCATCGAGACCCTGAATCCGCTGTTTTCAGAGCAAATGCTTTTGTGGACCGGGTTCTCGACGGCAAAAGCATCGCGGACATCAAGCGTTTACCACGACGATATATTCCTCCATATCAGCTTTCGAGTCACGAACGAACACCCTCGGGTTAATGCTTCATCATCAGTCCGTCAGCAAGGTCCCATAAGCTTGACAAGAGCGACATCAGCTTTTCTGTCGGAATTCTTCACGTTCGGATCGGCACAGCAATTCTAGACATTTGCCACTCTAATGTCGCAACTCGACACGTTCTGGCCATTCGAGATGAGACGATGGAGCATTTTGGGGGCTGTGGCCGGAGGAATGGCACGTGAGTTCCGGAGGCCCGCCAGACTGATCAATGGGCCGTCTCCGGAAGGGTTTTTTCTTTTCGCAAAGACAAGCTACGGTTTTGGGTGGCAGTCAGCAGATTACGCATCAGCAGGGACGTTCTTTGAATTGGTCATTGCCTAACAAAGTCATTGATTTGAACCACTGTAATGTAGTCCTTACCTATACCATGGATTGATTGCAAAGAGATGCGCGAGAGCTCCAGAATTGTGGAAATAGTTGTAGTGGTGCTTCGTCGAGTAGTTCGAGATGAATGTGTTGGAAGTTGTGTTGTTCCAGCGGATTTCCCCCTTTGCCACCTATGTACTTACCAAGCATTAGGACCCGCCATATTCATCCTTCTACGAAGACCCTCTGTTGGCAAACGCAGCGAGGACAGACATGGCCCGGCATTTGACCCGATGTCTTCGATAGATGGCCTGGCGTTGACATATTGAGGAGGTCGGTGCTCAAAGGGGGGCAGGCAGGCCTTTACGCTTTTGGCTCCACATGCCTAGTGCAGCGGTTTCTGGCTGGCGGAGGACGGTATTCAAAACTTGGACCCTGATGTCGGTCTCTACTGTACTTGACGTCTGCAAAGTGAAAGTTTAGCCGGGGCACAGAACAGGGCCATTGTACAGGTTTTGGCCAACTTCGGTGAGGAGTGTGGTACTCAGCTTTAAGGCGGCGATAGCTCAGCTCCAGATCCGAAAATGGATTTGTGTGAGGTCAAGTTTGACAGCTGAGAATAGTGGGAGCGAGTGGAGATTGAACACGCCACACTGTCCCTTAAATCTCGAGGCCCCGCATGCCTATTTCGACGCCCAACTTCACTCCATGGCACAATCCCTGCTGACCATTGACATGCGCTATACCCGCACCTCATCAAGCCCAGCTTAGTCCAGATGGCTTTTCCCAACAACTACACGCATCGAAGGGTGGCGGAAACCAGCGCGAGAGCATGTGAGATCTGTTTCAAGCTGAGCACAAGTGTGCTTATCACTCCCGACAACAAGGTCAGTGCGTCAAATATGCCATCCCTGATATCGGCCTCTAGTCGTCATTCACCTCTTTCACCTCTCAAACAATTTGCTCACATCCATTTCCCCAGGATTTCTTCTATGTCTGTCCAAGCCATCTAAAGGACACCGGGTTCTGTACGCCGGTCATTGATCAGGCGGCGCTCGAGGCTAAAAGGAAAAAGCAGCTGGAAGAGGAAGTAGCAAGAGTGAAACAGGAGTACGAAGAAAAGCAACGCAAGAAGAAAGAGAAAGAGAAGAAAGATGCGAGCAAGTCCGATGACAAAGGGAAGGAGAAGGACTCCAAGACAGATGAAGATAAGAAGACTGACGAGAAAGCTGCAACTGAGGTCAGTTGGTAACCTTGACTTGATATGTCTATCGGAGCGATTGATATACTTAAGTGGCTGCTAACTTGGCCATTTCAGGCAAAACCCGATGCCAAATCTCCAGAGCCGGAGGAAGAACCTCGGGTCTTTGAGCTGAAAAGGTATTGTCTCACCCCGTCGCCCGCTAGGGCTGCTGTAAGAGATGGCATTTATCATGACGTTAATGCGAGTAGGATGTTCTACCAGCAACGAGTGGATAAGAAGAGACAGGCTGAAATTGCCAAGCGAAACCGGGAGAGACTACGAGACCCGAGTTTCTTCCCATCTGTTCCCAAGGGACTACCATGACACACTCAGTGTATGTGATTGGCCAACGAGACACAAGCAACCGAGTCTACAACGTCCTGACTAGGTCCATCATGTATGTTGCTGCTTGAGGACCCCGTTATTGCTTCATGCCATGTCCTAGGCCGTGTATTCTAGCTGATTATCATCTAGCCGTAGGTCTAGGGCGTAGCTGTGAAGAGCGGATGAAGATACATGACGTCTTATGAGAGAAAGACAAAACTGGATTATTCTTGTCTGCATAGCTCTTGAGGGTACCAATGGATATGTGTTACAAACCGCTTGGTATATATTCTACGGAAGCGGTGAGGCAAGAGCAGGCTCGACACTTGGTTTTACCTTAGATCGAGTCGACCGTCAGCTGTTCCCCTCCATTGCCACAATTTGAGATACGACTTGTACTGTGCTTATGTGCGGCAGATCACCTGGTAACTACGGGCGTACACGTCACTGACCTGTGTGTTCTTACCGCGATCCTCATTCGGCAAGGTTCATGTCATCAATGCAGGTTACACGGACTGGATGTCTCAACTCTCTGTGACACCGAAGTCTGCGACCTTGTATAACGATAGCTATCATTGACATTCGCAGCCTCTGGAGGGTACCGTATCCATCTTATGTCATCCAGGATGCGAAATTGATGACCAACAATCAGCACGACAGTTC